ACTTAACATGAAACAAACGCATGTTAATAGCGGTTTTTCAAACCATCTCATAGATTACATATTAGATTATTTCTGTGTAAGATAATCAATAGCGACACTGAACATACAGAAAAAAAACAATGTGATATTCCGTGCTAATAGGAATATATACTTGGAAAACAGGGTAGATAAAATAAGTAAAGGTTTATTGTAAAACCCAATACAATAAGAATAAAGGTAACAGTTATGCACAAGGTCGTCGCAAGTCAATCCAGTAGTGAGTGCTACTATTGGAAGGTCGGTAGTTCTCGCGTAAGTGTGAGTCGTACTCAACAGATCCCAGCTAGGCGATATTTATTTGTACAATTGCACAAAATGTGGCACAAGGCCAAAATGGGGATTAGGAAAAAAGTGGGGGCGGTCTTCTTCTGTCTTAACTTAGCTGGACACAAACACTGACCCAAACATACAAACAATAGTCCTAGCCCCCAAAGCAACACATTCTTACCTACCTTTCTTACTACATCCACCATAATACCTCATTGTCTCTATGAAAATCCTAAATAGACCCTATATGTCCAATTCATTGTCTGTGGGGAGAGGGGAATGAAATAACAATTTAAAATATCCCCAATGAATAGGTACAATATGGAACAAAATTATTTACAAGAAACTAAACAAAATAATTTTAGTAATACCCCCAAAATCTTGAAACGTGGTAGAAATATCAGTTAACTGGACGAAATCGATACGGGATTAGAATAGTATAAAACATCCATTCATCCCAAGCACTGACACAAACACGCACTCATTCAGACACAACAAAAAAATACGAAAACACACACGCGAAACGAAAGGCGCCCCGCATCTACCAGAGAACTGACATCACTGACCACCTAACTAGGGAGGGGATAGGCAATTAAACTAAAGAAAACCAGAGACAGAAATAAAAGGGGCCGATGAACATACATCCCCCCCTAGCTAAGTTAACTGAAAAAAGAAACTAAAGATTCTAAAACAAAACTAAACTACCCTAATTTCGGGATGGGTTTCCTATGTTCAACCCAGGAAAAACAATATTCTGATGCCTAACCGGCATCAAAGTGCCACTTCTGGTCATCCCCTTTCACGCGACACAATCGCGCAAGATTCACGCACCTTTTGCCGAATTTTGATGAAGTGAGCCGCCGCCTTTCCGTCCTAATCTTGACTTTAAGCTGATGAATACTGAAGTACACTCTATTTGAAAATGATTTACATATATACAGTAATGTGCATATATATATATATATATATATGTGGATGACAATATATATGCTCCTGAATTTTTTTTTCGGTTGAGCTCTCTGGGGATTTTTTAAACAGTGACTATTACTGCTAATAATGCAAGACTCTTCGGTAAATCGAATTGAGTTCTCTCAGTCACTGGGTGTTTATCTAAAAATAAATACACTTAAAATTCACATTCTTCCCTGCCGTGCGCCAACGGCTTAGTGGTAGAATCCCCCCGACTGACGCCAATTCAATCGGGTTTCGATCCTAGCTAGAGGCAACCGGATGTCTAACCACACTGATGAGCTGCGAAACAGTCTGTCTTTGTATGACAATATATATATATACACGTCGTGAATATGACAACAAAGATTATGAGAACAGTCTGATAATGTAGATTATTTAATAATTGCAGTACCACATCTCAGAAATATAATGATATTGAAGTATAAATTTTGTCAAAATAAACAAATAAAATAATAAAAAAAAAAACGTATAACTGTGACTGTAATATACACAGTAATTTCTACTCTGTTTGTATTTTCTCCCACGGGAGCCAAGTGCCTCCCGTTTGAGAATCGTGGTTAGAGAGTGATACAGTGAGAGAGAGAGAGGAGACAGAGAAAGGTTTTGCTAAAATGGCGCATGATTGTTTGTGCTCCGAATAGACAGTAAAACGACGTTCTTGCTTTGCTAGGCAAACGGGAGACGCGGGGGCGGCGATCGCCGTCTTGTTATCGGACATCTGAACAAATTCGACTCGAAATTACTATGTATTAAAGCCATACATCATGTAAACTGTACAGATAATAGAAGGCGCGTTTGCCACCAGAGCTGGTTGACTGGAACGTCAGAGCTTCGATAAACGAACCACTCCCCCACCAACCAACACACACACACGCACACGCGCGCCGAACACCCAACTATTTCCCCCTTCTTAAACAGAGACGAAAGAAGACTAAATTCACAAAGCAAAGGCAATTCCTGTCTCTTTATACCTCATCTTACGATCGCAAGCTTCTGGGTACAGTTTAGAGTTATTGGAAAATTACGTGGCTGTGTGGGTGTCTGTGAATTAGCTCGGCGTCTCAAAATTAATGGAAGATGACGGAAGATTGTGTAGTTTTAAGATCGCCTTTTAAAGCAAGCATTTTAGTTGGTGGCAATATTTTTAAATGGGCAGGTGGCATTAGAACGTTGGCATTCTGACCATGAGACCCGGATTCGAATCTCACCATGGTCGATTTGTCAGGAAGGAGATTTCCTGATGTTATTGCACTGGAATTCCAAGCGTGCGACACTTTTGGAAAATGCCTGAAAAATCATACCAAAGGTTGACCCAAGACTTGTGAGTGAAATTGGGTAGACGGAGCACTTGCAAGCACGAAGTCACAAGTCATCGTGACGGATCAAGGCGGCGATGACTGACCCGCGTCACCTAATGCAAGAACATCGTTTCACTGTCTATTCGGGGCACAAAAAAAAATAATGCACCATTTTAGCGAGGGCCTGAGCGTGCTGGACATGTTCAAATTGTTGATCACGGTAGATAACACGCTCTTTCCCAAAAACTAAGGTCTCTCAGCATAGATTGTGTAGTCTGCTCAGCATAGATTGTGTAGCCTAGTTGCAGTATAGTGGAATAAACACAAATGCGCCTGAGGAATAGGGATTGGGTAACCCGCCCTTGCAGGGTGGTAACCTCGAATACCAGTGTTCAGGTACACCAATATTTTAAAAGCGGTCTCCAACAACGACCACTGGCAACAATAGATATGAACATGAGATAGATAGATAGATAGATAGATAGATAGATAGATAGATAGATAGATAGATAGATAGGATGAATAACAAGCGCATAGAATGAAACAAAGAATAACAAGCAGAAAGAATGTAAGAAAGAAAGACTTTATTTATTTATTTAGATAGATAGATAGATAGATGTTAACAGACTACGTTCAATAGATTATTAACAAACCGAGATAGATAGATAGATAGATAGATAGATAGATGATAGATAGATAGATAGATAGATAGATATGAACAGACTACGTTCGATAGATTATTAACAAACCGAGATAGATAGATAGATAGATAGATAGATAGATAGATAGATAGATAGATAGATAAAGAAAAAGGGGTATTAGATAGATAGATAGATAGATAAATAAAGAAAAAGGGGAATGAGATAGATAGATAGATAGGTAGATAGATAGATATGAAAAGAATTCAGATAGATAGATAGATAGATAGATAGATATGAAAAGAATTCAGATAGATAGATAGATAGATAGATAGATAGATAGATATGAAAAGAATGCAGATAGATAGATAGATAGATAGATAGATAGATAGATAGATAGATAGATAGATAAACAAGCGCATAGAATGAAACAAAGAATAACAAGCAGAAATAATGAAAGAAAGAAAGACTTTATTTATTTATTTAGATAGATAGATAGTTAGTTAGATAGATAGATAGATATTAACAGACTACGTTCGATGGATTATTAAAAAAACCGAGATAGATAGATAGATAGATAGATAGATAGATAGATAGATAGATAGATATTCCTGCACGTTTTTATTTAATTTTTGTCTTAGATATATTTCTTCCATTCTAGTCAACCAATTTGCATCTTAATACATTTTTTCATTTGGCCAAATAGACAAAAATTGTCACGCCACTTCAGACAGACAACGTGCATAAGGGAGAATACTTGGATAAAAATACATTTAGATAGATAGATAGATAGATAGATAGATAGATAGATATGAACAGACAGCGATAGATAGATAGATAGATAGATAGATAGATAGATAGATAGATAGATAGATAGATAGATAGATATGAACAGTGAGCGATAGATAGATAGATAGATAGATAGATAGATAGATAGATAATGAACAGACTGTGATAGATAGATAGATAGATAGATAGATAGATAGATAGATAGATAGATAGATTGATATGAACAGACTACTTTCGATAGATTATTAACAAAGCATGATAGATAGATAAATAGATAGATAGATAGATAGATAGGAAAAGAAGATAGATAGATAGATAGATAAGAAAATAAGATAGATAGATAGATAGATAGATAATCTCTTCATACTGATAGATAGATAGATAGATAGATAGATAGATAGATAGATAGATATGAACAGACTACTTTCGATAGATTATTAACAAACCATGATAGATAGATAAATAGATAGATAGATAGATAGATAGATAGATAGATAGATAGATAGATAGGAAAAGAAGATAGATAGATAGATAGATAGATAGAAAGATAGATAAGAAAATAAGATAGATAGATAGATAGATAGATAGATAGATAATCTCTTCATACTGATAGATAGATAGATAGATAGATAGATAGATAGATAGATATGAACAGACTACTTTCGATAGATTATTAACAAACCATGATAGATAGATAGATAGATAGATAGATAGATAGATAGATAGATAGATAGATAGATAGGAAAAGAAGATAGATAGATAGATAGATAGATAGATAGATAAGAAAAGAAGATAGATAGATAGATAGATAGATAGATAGATAGATAGATATTCCTGCACGTTTTTATTTAATTTTTGTCTTAGATATATTTCTTCCATTCTAGTCAACCAATTTGCAACTTAATACATTTTTTCATTTGGCCAAATGAACAAAAATTGTCACGCCACTTCAGACAGACAACGCGCATAAGGGAGAATACTTGGATAAAAAATACAT